ACATACTGTATATATTAGGGTGGTCCTTAATAAGGTTATTTTTAAATTTCTTTGCTCCCAGGGGCTCAAATGCTTCCAAATTATTTAAAAAAAATTCCCTGAAAATTTGAGCTCTTAATATTAACTCTAATTAATTCCAATCTAAGTTTCCTATGGAAATAACATAGGAAAAATTACTTTTGTTGTTTATAATTTTATAACTTGGGAACGAATAAATTAAAAATTATATATCATACATATTTTTATAGAGAATTTAACGCTCTACAAAAAAGGTCTCCTATAATTTTTCCATTAGTCTATTTGTTTAAAAGTTATTCAACGTCAAAGTTTAATTTTCATATTATTATTAATATTATCAAGGCTTTTTTATGAGGCGCCGTTTGTGTCAAAATTAAAAGTGCTAAATAAACTTATTTTATTTTATAAATAATTAATTATATGCTTTAACCAAATAATTTTTTTTATAAAATAATTTTTTTAAAAATTTTTTTTATTTTGTAAAAAAATTTATAAAATATTTTTTTATAAAATAATTTTTTTATAATTTTTTTTTTGTAAAAATAATTCTTTTTAATAAAATTATTTTTAATTCGAATCAAAAATTATTTAATAAAAGACGACGGGCGTATTTATAAATTAATTTTTACTGCAGCCATCTTTGGAAACGATTGAAAATAATAATTTATTATTTTTATTCATGAATTCATTAATTTTTTTATCTAAATTTATTTTGATTTTTAGTTTTTAACAAGAATTCTTTATGTTTAAACGTTTTTTATAAGAAAGCACTTGTTAAAAACTAATATAAATAAATAAAATAATTCTCTTGAAAACAAATTAAAATAAAAAACAATTTTATAAAAAAGAATTATTTTATAAAAAAATTATTTAAAAAAAAATTATTTTAGAAAAAAATTATTTTAGAAAATTTTTAGAAAAAAATAATTTTATAAAAAAATTATTTGGTAAGGCATATAATTAATTATTTATAAAACAAAATAAGTTTATTTAGCACTTTTAATTTTGACACAAACGGCGCCTCATAAAAAAGCCTTGATAATATTAATAATAAATATGAAAATTAAATTTTGGCGTTGAATAACTTTTAAACCAATATACTAATGGAAAAATTATAAGAGACCTTTTTTGTAGAGTGTTAAATTCTCTATAAGAATATGTATGATATATAATTTTTAATTTACTCGTTCCCAAGTTATAAAATATAAACAACAAAAGTAATTTTTCCTATGTTATTTACATAGGAAACTTAGATTGGAATGCGCACTATCTTAGAGTTATTATTAAGAGCTCAAATTTTCAGGAAATTTTTTTTTATTAATTTGGAAGCATTTGAGCCCCTGGGAGCAAAGCAATTTTAAAATAACCTTATTAAGGACCACCCTAGTATATATAAATATATATATATTTCAATACAGTTTATTTCTTGATAATATGATAAACAAAAAAAATTAATGACAATGTATACATAGGACATGTTCAAAATGCTCGCCGTTAAGGACTTGGAACATCCTAATCTAAGATAGAAACACATATCAGAGTGCGTCAATCTAATCGCCAGCGTTAATCGTCTTCTTAAGTCAGCTAAGTCGAGGGGTTTGGTTTTGTATACAAAACTTTTGACCCCATAGAAAGAAGTATAATGACGTCAGATCAGGGGATCGTGCTGGCCATTTGGAAACATTCGGTTGAGGTACTGCTGGACATGGAAATTGGTGATGTGGCAGTGCTCCATCTTGCTGAAACCATTTCGAAATTCGCTACAAAACATATGTCATATGTATTGTAGCGAATTGAATTTGAAATAAGAAACTGCTACGTGACAAAAGTTTTTATTGAAAAAAATGCCCAACTAAAAATACCAATCGACGTGTTTGAGTGTTTTTTGTATTATCGAATTTATTTCATTTGGCTAATACATACGGTATATTAGAATGTTGGTGAGTAATATCCCATTATATATATACGGATTTTTTAATAATTGTTAATATAAACTATTTTATAACTTTTTGCCATTTTTAAAATAAAAAAATATAAAGTGATTTCATATACAGTTTTATGTTTTTATTTATTACCCGAAACATAAAATAATCAATAAACACTTTATTTAGCATTATTAAGTACAGATACTTAAAATGGATATAAATAAACAACCAAACAAGTAAAAAAAATAAACTTTATTTTACTTTGCTTTATGTATGTAGGTACAGAGTTATCCCCTATAATGTCGCCCCCCTTTAACTTTTTTATTTTAAGCAAAATTTAAAAGTGTGGTTATGTAGGTACTAAAAATACTTTTTTTTACTTATAAAAAAATGGAAAATTGATCAATATGCAGGGAAAAACAAAAAGTTTATTTTTTTTTCAATGGATCACCCTATATATGAATTTATTTTTCGATTCCTTGTAAAATTCTGAGCATAACTCATATAACAAACCATATACCTAAATTCAACCGTTTCTGAAATATTCGCATTCGAAATGTTATCATTAAATGTTTTTTAAACTGTTAGAAATCAAGAAGCCTCAGGATACCAAAATTTGTATTAAAAATAAATTACTATAGTGACATTATGTCAATATGTCTTGTTAAATAAGTAAAAATTGCATACTCAGATAGAGAAAAAAAAATATTTCAACATATTATGTATCTTAAAAAATAATTTAAATATTTCAAGTATAATTTGAATTTAGGGATATGGTGTGTTATATGAAATATGCTTAGAATTTTACAAGGAATCGAAAAATAAATACATATATAGGGAGATCCATTGAAATAAATTAAACTTTTGTTTTTCCCTGTATACTGATCAATTTTCCAATTTTCTGTGTACCTACATAACCACACTTTTAAATTTTTTGGGGACACTTAAAATAAAAAAGTAAAGGGGGGCGACATTATAGGGGATCACCCCTGTACAGTCCGTTCAGGCTAAGTTGAGCGCTTTGGTGGGGGATCATGTGGCGGTTAATTAAATTAAACATCGAATCGTCGCGAGATTTCGGTAACAAGAAGATGATTTATCAGTGCCGCGGCTTTGCCCGTTTGTTCGTACAGAGCGGCTACCGAAATACATGTAATTTAATTGTGCCTGAACATAGAGACGATGAACGGGGGTGACATTCCTTAGACCGCTCAACTTAGCCTGAACGGACAGTACGTAGTTCGCAGGAGTGATTTAATTAAATGGTTTCTTGTTAAACATTGTTTGTATACATCTAACAAGCTCTATAACATACATTATTACAAACTAATTGTGGTAACCCTAATGTAATTATAACTTGTCAATTAATTGCATTACAGTATACCCTATGAATAAGGTAAAAGTTCAAAAATAAACAAAAAGTTAAATTTGACACTTCGTAAAAGTGCAGAATCTACGTAGATATATAATTTAAAAATAGGCTTATTTCGATCATTTTTATCCATTTTTGGCGATCAGTTTATAAAAGAAATTTTAATTTTTGAGTAAAACAGGACTTCTTTGCACCCATTGCACTTAAACTTATTACCAGATTGGGCATATGGTCGCCCAGTGGATAACGTTTAATTTGACAATGGCAAAAAATGCAGAGGGCCTTTAAAGTTTCCTATGAAGAGAAAAATTAATTTATCAAAAACAAAAGCTAATTGAATAAAAATGGTCATTTTAAGAATCAGCGCATCCAAATAACCCTAGAGTAACTCTAGGCAGAAAAAAAAATAATTTTTTCGAAAATTGTAATTATATGAAAATGTGTAAATGTAAAAAAAACAATACACTGTTTTTTAAGTTTCACAACTTCATTTTAATTTTGGCAATTGTTTCACACAGAGTAGTAGCCTTGAAAAAGCTACTGAGTTAGCAAAAACAATTGTCAAAAATAAAATAAAGACGTGAAATCTAAAAAACAGTGTTTCGTTTTTATACATTTATACAGTGTGACCTGTTTGTTTTCGACTCACCCATTTAAAATCTTTATTTATTGTGCGATTTTAACAGGATTTGTTTTAAAGTGTAGATGTTAATAAACTGTATGTCAGTTTTGAAAGTAAATTTAAAAAAATTCATATGAGCGATTTAAAAAAATCTATGCAGGCACTGTATTCACTATTTACAAGAATGTATTATGTCTATTTGAGAAAAACGAGCTGAATAACAACTTTCAGGCATTGTGTGAATCCATTAGAACAAAAATAAGATAGTTCAAAGCACTCTAGATTGATCTTTATGAAGATACATTTTCTGATGACGAAACGTTAAAAGGTCAATTTGAGGATGCTGTTTGACTCAGAATTTCAGGATTACAAATATGTAAAAAATATATAGGGAATTCCACTAAAAAAATCGAAAGTTGGTACCATTTCCGGCAAAATCGGAAGTTCAAAAAATTCATTTTGTACACTTATAAGTGGCATTTTATATCCTAATTAACCACGCTAAATTTAATTTGACAACAAAATCGTTTCTACTTAAAATTTTTGAATACCTAACAATTTTAGGGTCGTTTTGATTTGTGGTTAATTCGCTAATATGCCTTCTTAAAAATTTACTCTCAAAAACTAACATTGTATTTTGTAAAAATATGGCGTTTTTTGCTTCATAAATAGAGTTTACCAAGATTAACACTTTTTAACAATTTTACAGGGGTGATCGCAAACATATGGGTCACACTTTGGATTAGTGACATGGAGTTTCAACAAGTAAGGTCAAAACAATAAAATATAAAATTATAATTTATAAGTTTTTTTTCCTGTATTTATATTGTTTTTTTTTTAATCAAACGTTTACTACATGGTTACCATACGGTATGTATCACGTGTTAGTATAAAATTGTATACCTACATTAAGCTTGTGAAGGTTTTAATATTAGTTTGCTGTGCCACAAATACTCAGTTTTGTTATAGTTTCCAAATTGTTAGTCACTAAACGGTTAGTGTGGATGGGTGCCAATTTTACTAATTTAACAGACCTGTACTCAAAACATTCTTCAAAAATTACCTGGAGTTAAAAGTCCTGCGAAAAATACATCTAAGTTAGTAAGAACAAATAACAATATTAAATAATAAATAACAAAATCGTCCTGTATACATTTTTGAGGGATTATTAATAATTTATATTAATTATTAATATGAAAAAAACATTACAAATCAACTTACGTTTAAGTAGAAGTATACAAAAAGTTAAGTTTGGCAATAAATACAAATATTACATGAAATGTAATCAGAAAAGATTTTGTACTCTATTAATTTTTAACATTATTTAACCTTTAGATTAAAAGGTTATTATTAACACATTGTTTTTTCAAATTTATTTACTTTTTATAAATAAAAAGAAAACATTTAAAGGGTTGTTAACCCAATAAATCTTTCAATGTTTTTAATTGAGTATGACACTTTTACTGCTACGCAGTGTTATCATAAATACATGTGTAAAAATAAATAAAACATGTAATACCTAAATATACGACTTTGTTTATTATTTTGAGTATCAAAATACGTAAGTTTAAATTGTATTTATCCGCAAATGATAAAAAATGTATTTATTTAAACGTACGTCAATTATTTTGAAAGTGATTTTTTTAACAATAAAACAAATAAATTTGATGTTTTTATTAAATGATTTTTATTTTTAACTACGTGTTTTTAAACCCAACATATAAACATTTTTAGCGTTGTTGTGGCATTTTTCGCAGAACGATTCTAATTTAATCATTTTAAATTTGTTGTTTTTTAACAAATTTACGGAATTCTTAAAACTGGATATATATGATTTTAAAATAAAAATAAATGGTTAGGCAAGTTTCTTAAAAAAAGTATGAAACAAAATTAAAATTAAACAATTTATATTTAGTTTCAAGTTTAAATTAACCATTTAATTAGTGCATAATTTATTAAAAATGCATTAACTTTAATTTATTTTAAATTAAAATATACACATATACAAAAATTAAAAACATAACTTAAATTTATTTATATTTTACCCTCATAGTATAAGGGCTGTCCAACATGAGGCCCTGGAGCCGCATGCGGCCCGTTATGACACTTTTTGTTGTTTATTTTTTAAAACTAAATGTATAAAAAACATTTTAAAATACGCAGAAATAATAAAAAGTTTATGGTAAGGTAAATCGTATGTCTTTGGGAAGTAAAGCGAGTAAATGGTGAATTTTTTTTTAATAACAATATAAAAGAATTTTGTCTGTTATGATATTAATTTATTTGTTTACGAGCAGTACAAAGTTTTTAAATAAAATTGTTGTTGTTGTTTAAACTTTTAGTCGTTTTACTGCCAAATAATACGTATAACTGATTGTAACGCGAGTTACCATGGAATGTCCCATATGCCAATCCAAGTTATGAAAATGTTTTAAAAGTCAGGAACAATAAATTTTAAAGGGAATGTTAAATTGTATTTATAGATATTGCCAAAAATATATGCAAAATTGTAAAAAAAATAGCTTAAAATTTCAATTTGCCTAAATGTTTTTAATGGTAATTACCGTAGAAATACTACGCCATCAATATCAGTATACACAATGTGTATACTGATATTGATGGAGTTCACTAATTAAAATTCTCAAAAAATTGATTAAAAATCATTAATGTTTTTATAAAAATTGATTTCTCCAAAAAAGTGCCAAGCGAATTGAGTTTATCCTGAAAAAAAATTGTCTTGTAAGTGATTTTTTATCAAAATAAACTCAATTCGCTTGGCACTTTTTTAGAAAAATCAATTTTTATAAAAACATTAATGATTTTTAATCAATTTTTTGAGAATTTTAATTAGTGAACTCCAAATAATGACTAACAGCTTTTAATGTATTTGTTACATAAAATGTGCAATTCATTAGACTAGTGAACTATTGACATATTTCACTTGTTACATGTCACATGTCGAAATCGTGATTGAAAATACCTTTGCGTTATTTTACCGTTTTTTTTCAATTTGTCGCAGATTTATTTATAAATTAGATATACAATTGCATTGATTATACTATAGTATAGTGCAATAAGGCTAATAAAAAACCATGAATGGACTCACTCGGATAATCTCGAGAGAATTTGTTTGTTTTGTCTTAAAAAAAAAGAAAAAATGTCTAAAATATGCATATGTGGAAAGATTCTGGAAAAAGTTCAAAGCATAGCTTTAAGTCCGAAACATCAGCAGCAGTTACTATCACTCTTTTAAAAAAAGAAAAAAGAAAGAGCGATAGTAACTGCTGCTGATGTTTCGGACTTAAAGTTTCACTAATATCGTTTTCAATATTTTCTTTCTTTACTCCAGGTTTACATTTATGTTTTTACCGCGGCCACCAACAATACTTGACAAACATTTGAAACATTTTCTCACCACACGCTTGTTTTCTTTTTTAATGGGTTTATTTTTAGCACTGAGTATGAGTATGAGTATAAGAGACGTATAACCAGCCCCATTTCCTCTTGACTCTCGAACCCCGTACAGGCCTATGTTTACTTACGCCGATTTTTGTTCTTCCCCAGCAACTATTTGGGGCTCGAGAGCGAGAGGCGAATAGTTATAATAGCCGTTCCCGGGTTCGCCGGGCCTATGCTATACGCTCAGTGGGGTATGGAGGAGGGACGGGAAGGTGTTGGTTTTTGGGGTACAATTACGCCGACTTAAAACTAAGTACGACGCGGAATCCCCCTAGACCAGTCGATTAGTATTACTCCAAACATTTGGGACTACTATTTGGAGTTGGGGAATTGTTATTTCGCTGAAGGGGTGTAGTTTCCTAGTCGAGGTCTTTGTCTTGTTCGTTATTGTCATTGTCCGTGTCCTGGTCAGATATTTCCTGCACTTGGTAAAGTGTGTCAGTTGTTTTTAATAAATTTTGTCCCAAGCACGTTTTGTGATAGAGTTTTGTCTTTTTTTTTATTAATTTCCAAAATTAAGCATTGCATTTATTTATTAGTCAAACAAGCGCGATTATTCTGTTGTCTAATGTTTACAAATCTCGAGTTTGGCTATTAGGCTTTTTTCTTAATGTTAGAATTATGATTAATGTGCTAGTTTATTCTGAGTCTAGTGTTTATTTTCGGTCTCGATTGGGATTGCCTTACGCATTTGTTGTTGACAGATTCATTGCCCCATTCCGTGTGCCCTTCGTAGGTTTCAAAGATATCCCAATAAACACTTTAACGGTACCTATCACCACCAACATTGCCCGTGTAAGAATTTTTGATACTTTTTAATACAATTTTGCAATGATAGTAATTAAAAACAAAACAATTGTTTAAAGAGTAAAATATGTTCCTAACATAATCATATTTTAAAGTTATTTTAACATTTTCAAGTAAATGTTATGTTTAATAAAATGAATAACGGGCAATGTTAATGGTGACAAATAACGGAAAATGTTTGCTGGGATCTGCCGTATTTAAATTGCAGATTTGTATCAGGTCATGCAATTCTTAAAGTAACTTATCAGCTTTTTGGCCACCTCCCCTCTTGTTTGACCTCCCCTGTCTGTCCAGTGAAAAGCCTCCAATGGCATTCATATCACTCAACACTTCACTCCTCAATGACCATTACACCATTTTTGCACTCTATGAAAATGTTTGTTTCACTTATTAGTTTGCACTTTTTATAATTATTGTTGGTTTTATCTTTAAACTCTTACGTTTCAAGAGCTTACCCGCACGCGACGTGTCTTCCGAAGCGCTGGAACCGAACTGAATGGGTTTATTTTTAGCACTTTTTATAAAATTATTTCCAATTAGAAAAATCAGGCAAATTTAACGTGTTTCTATAAATTTCTTGTTTAGCTGCTTTATATAATAAAATTTCACAACCTTTGCATACAACTTTTGTTCATCTTCTACATCATATACTTATACAACTTTTTCCAGAATCTTTCCACATATTTTAAACATTTTTTTTTTTAAGACAAATCAAACAAATTCTCTCCATTATCCGAGTGAGTCCATGCATGGCATATTAGCTTCTTTGCACTATATACTATAATCAATGCAAATATAATTATTTATATCTAATTTATAAATAAATATGCGACAAATTGAAAAAAAAAACGGTAAAATAACGCAACGGTATTTTCAATCACGATTTCGACATGTGACATGTGATAACTGACATATGTCAATAGTTCACTATAGTGTGCAATTCATTAGACCATAGTCTAATGAATTGCACATTTTATGTAACAAATACATTAAAAGCTGTTAATCATTATTTGGAGTTCACTAATTAAAAATCTCAAAAAATTGATTAAAAATCATTAATGTTTTTATAAAAATTGATTTTTCTAAAAAAGTGCCGAGCGAATTAAGTTTATCCTGAAAAAAATTGTCTTGTAGGTAATTTTTTATCAAAATAAGAAAAAAATTCGGATACGTCTGAACCTTTCAATTAAAAGTTATTCAGGGACACCGGGATGTATAAGTAAAACATGTAGGTACCTTATAAACTTAACCGGTAACTTTAGTAATCAATAATAATAAAAACAGATATAAAAACTTCCATACCGTCTTGGTCCTCCTGAGCATAGCTGCATCTCGGCGGGCTGAAAAACAAGTGCGTCCTGTAATGGTGCTCCTCCATGGGCGTGTAGCCCTGTTCGCGGCTCGACCTCTTGCTCGTGTGCCGGGACCCCCGAGACCTTCGGCACCTTGCTGGAAATGGCCCCGGTCTTCTGCTCGCGAAAGTTCTTCCTGAACATCAAATTCATGGTGCCGGCTTATCCTAAATCCTGCAAAGTTCGAACAAAATCAGAACCCCTGTTGTTTTTTATTATTATGATTTTGTTTGTGTCTAATATACGCGTACGGGGATTATGATTGAGATTTATGATGGTTCGAAGACGGAAATTGAAGCTACTGGGGGGTAACTTGTTTACAAGGAAAAGGGAAAAGTTAACCAGATGACAGCAAAGGAAAACTCTATAACATCGTATTTTAATAAATTTTATTTATTGCTCTCTTAAAATGAATTAGTCAAAAATAACTAATATAAGTCATATTTGACTAATTGTCATAGCGAAAAAGCAGGTCACTAATAATTAGTCAAATTCTACAGAATGAAATAGTCAAATTAGTAGATTTAAATTTAAAAAAAGTTTTGACCCAGTCAGGGATTGAACTCAGGTCTGTCACTTGTCAAGCTGTTGTCATAACCCATTCGGCTATCAGCCGCTCTTACAAAAATCAATTTTATTTGTCCATAAATTTTGTTCAAAATATTTTAAAATTGAATATATTATTTGTGTTGCTGTTTTGAGCTAAACTTTTTGCATCTTTATTTGTTTTATGGGTCATTTAAACCATGGAGGCTTAGATATATGCATTTAATTCAAAAAATACTTTGTTGTTGGCCGCAAACGATTAAAGAAATTAGTTACTTTTAACTCTCAAAAATAGTCAAAGATGGTGACTAATCTTAAATTAGTCAAACTTTAACTATTTACGTAGTAAAAAAATAACTATTTAAAAGTGAAAACGACTATTTTATTAGTAAAAAATGCTGGGTACTAATTCAAAGAGTAGAATTTTGACTATTTCATTTTTTAGAGAGTGGAACTTATTGAAAAATCTGCATTGCCAAAATAATTTTGTATAGGTATTGGTAACTCAACTTCAAATCGACCACTTTTGATCCCAACCAGTATTTTTCAAAATTGCTTTTTTTTCAAATTAATGCATATTTAGTACAATATAGTTCAAATAAACTTACACGGGTTTATTTCCATACTTTATTTTAACAATATATTCATTCTAATAAGTTAACTAAATAGTTAAATCTGGGTAAAATAAACCTAAAATCCTTTTTAACTAAAAGTTGAATTAACTCAAAAGTAAATACTAAAAATAGTATGTTGGTATTTTATAAAAATATGTATGACTTTGAAAATTATATGTCTAACCCGGTATACGTAATTAATATTAAACATTTCACGCAATGTTGTAAATCCCAGTCTTGTAATTTAAATGTTAAAAAAAAAAACATATTTCATGAAAAATTAACAAATTTGTAGAATATTCTGAAAACTTCCCAATATTAATTTTAAATATACTTGGATGATTTTCCACAAAAATTGAGTAAATGGGACGTTTTTTTTTAAATTTTTTGTTCTTTGATATACTCCTCAGAAAAAAAAAATACAAACTAATTTTTCGATGTCAAAATCTATAAATTTTTTTATTTGAATATACTCAATATAATATTTGGAACTCCACGTCAAATTGACCAGTTTTGATTCCGACCAGTTTTGATTTGGCTGAATTTTTTTTTATGTTTTTTTACCCCACTAAAAAAGTTTTTCAAATTTATTAAAAAAATTTCACCCTTGAAAAATTCTTAAACTTTTGAATTTTTCAAAAAAATGGCTCTTTTTTCAAATACCCATAACTTTTTTAAAAATTGACTATAAGGACGTTTTTTTTTAATTTTTTTGTTTTTAATGTACTTTTCAGAAAAAAATACAAACAAATTTTTGATGTCAAGTTCTATAAATTTTTTAGTTTAAAAAAAAACAAATTTTTGAAATTCGCCATTTTTTATTTTTTTTTCAATCGTTCATATAAAAACTTTTATTTATTCACCATTCACATAATATTATTACATGAGCGTTATTATACTGGTTTGTGACCTGTTTGAGATTGAGTTCCTTAAGGAGCATATACATATGCTAATTAAATAAACATATGTAATCTCTATGGAACCCTGTTCCTAGGGAACCATTATTATTCTAAATATATAAAAAAACTTACACACGATTTTGGTTCTGTACATTACAAAAAATAAAACTGTTTTTAAAAGAAAATAATACTATTTCCTAAAACTCCAAAACCCTTTTTTTCTGCTTTAAAACATGACCCATTATGAAGCTAATAACACTCTGGTGTCCAATAATCAATCCATAAGACTATTATTTTATAACATTTATAATAAACAAAATTCGTCAGAATTCAATCTACATATTTATTTATTTATATTTTACTTGCTACTAACAATTGATTTCGAAAAATTTCGGATAAAAAAACAACCATATGTGTAATCCTTATCATTAATTATTAATTAATTATTAAGTGAATTGATTTTATTATAGAAATAACAAAAATAGAAAGAAAAGTCGGCCTACTTTGAAAAAAAGCGGCAAAAATTGCAGAATAAATCGAAGTTTTTTTATAAAAAAAATGGCAAAACTTAAAAAAATTATGTTTTTTTTCAAATTTCGGACAAAAATCTATGTAATCCATATCATTAATTAATTATTAAAACAATGGTTAAGAGAATTGATTTTATTATAGAAATAAAAAGTTTTTGAAATAAAAAAAAAGAAAAGCGGCAAAATTAATCGAAGATTTATAAATAAAATAAAAAATGTCAAATTTGAAAAATTAATGGTTTTTATAAAAAACTAAAAATGTCATAAATTTTTTTAGTACAAGTCATAGATAATAAATCATACAAGTAAAAAGTACTTGTGACGGCCATAGCGTTCTTTTAAGATTTTAAAAAGCATACACTTTTTTTCATGTTTTCATGTAGGGATTTAGTTGGCAAATTCTAGGGACCCTAAATTTATGATTGGCTACATTGAGTAGAACAAACTAGTTTAGGGGAGAATATAATTGTGGTTATGCATGCTATAATTCTAAGAATGTTTATAAGTTTTGAAATGTCAAATATAAGTGGTTAAAAAATGCAATAACTTTACCTAAAATATTTAAAATTAAGGGCTTGAACAGGAGTACCAATTTTAAATATTGAAAATAACAAAGTATATTAACATACCAACATAATCCAATAGGTCAAATTCCAAATAAAAAAAGAGTTTCCGGACACCCTGTATATATGTAATAATTTCAAAAATGATTCCAAGAAAAAAAATTAGTATAAAAATAGATTGTAAATTTCTGCTATGTAAAAAAATAAAACTATAATAATTATTAAATTATTATTATAATATTATTATTTTTACCCTGGCGAATTCGCCATTTTTTAAACTGTTAATACGATCATATAAATAAACCAAAAAAAATCTGGGAACAAGGAAAACAAACTGCAAAAATCAATAAATAAACTTTTCTAAAAATAACCGCTGACTCCGCACCTTAAATATAATTAATTTTCGAGCAAAATAATGTAATATATCATGTGGAAAATTCAACTTAAACTGCACTTTTAAACTGATCATGTGGTATTGTAAAAGTCTAGCTGATTAATGTTGTTTGTGAGATCTATAAACAACTTTACCAATTTCATTCATATGTTTTAAGTTTTGAAAACACGTAAAAAGTCAAATTTAATTAACGTTAAAAGCTCTCAAATATAAACAATGTGAAATTTTAAGAGTTTGCCAGAAAATAACGTTTTTTAATGTGAATTTCACAGTGTAAACAATTTTGTTGGCAATTATTATTATATTAAAAAGTCTTAAAAACGGTTTTTATATATAAATATATTTTAAACTGATTAATTTTTAGGGTCAAAAAGTAAAGGGATTATATCTTGGATTTATTTATAAAAGCAAATGTCACGCAATTTTAGAAAAACAATATAAATCATTTCATATATGTATACACAGTAAAAAAAATCAACTCTAAGCAACACTAATTAGAGTTCACATATGTCCACACTAAATAGTGTTGTTTTATAACACTACAATTAGAGTTAATTTGTAGTGTAATTTTCCCCAAGTAAGCAAGTTTGATTTAAAACTATAGCACTGAGGATAAAGTAATTTTACACTGTATTAAAAAGTGTTAATTTACCTAAAATCGTGTACTTCTACACTTCCTGGGTAAACTACTTTGGAAAAGTTCTAATTTTAGAAAGGTACTTTTACTCTTTTAGTGCAAACTTCTAGTGTAAATTAACACTATTATTTGAGTAAAACCTATTGGTAGTAGTGAATAAAACGAAAGGTAAATAAAGAGAAACATTTATTTGGAACAAAAATCTATGAAAATTATCAAAATCGGTGCCTTTTAAAATATAATTTTATATTTGAGTCGTATGGCTGGCTTAAGCAAAATGGTTCCTTAAAACGTAAAAGTTTTAGATCAATGCAATGTTTTACTGGCTGTCAACTTGTAAGCAATGAATTATCTTGAGAATTCATCAGTAATCCATTTTTCTGTTATATAAAATGGGTGATCCCATTGGTAGAAAGGCGTCAGGCGGCTGTATGTCGGGGATTTACCACACGTGTACAAATTTTCCATAATATTAATAAAAATGTAGGTATAGGTTAATATAACAACCATTATGCTTGAAAATAAAAAGTAAATCAAGTGTGTATGTATTTATATTATTAATGTTACAAGTACCCGACATACAGCCGTAAATTATTGATATATAATATAGGTCGGGTATGGACATCCTTTTAACATATTGGTATTTATTGAGTATTAAGGCTTAAAGAAAAAGGAAGTATAATACAAAAAATAAGAATGTACCCTTAAGGATTCACCGTAATTAAAATATAACTGAACAAAAATGCCACACTTCCACAACGCGGTATCTCCGGATATGCACTGCGTAGGTAGATAGGTACCAACCAAACATTTTAAAACGCATTTCGGTTATTACCAATTTTTTTAGTGTATTTTGCCACTTTTGGTGTAATTTAACTTTAATTGTGATGCAATGTGCACTAGTAGTGTAAAGAAAAAAGAGCTATTAGTAACATCAAAACAGACAAAGAAATTGGCATGCACTTTAGTGTACATTTTGTCACTATTTAAC